TTAGTGATTATTACATGTTAAAAGCACTCAGGCGCTTCAGATTGTGACGTCATTATCCGGGTAAATTCACAAATGTCTGCTTCGAAAAAAAGCAGCATTCTTCAATAAAGACAATGTTAACGTTGATGGAGCGACAGAATCTACCATAAACAACTCTGCGCCTATACCAAATGAGGTTTCCCAACCAAATCAATCGGCGAATGCTGAAACAACTGAGAAATCCAAGCAAAATGATAATGCTCCGAAGCGATTTTTTCGTAAGGAATTTTTGGTTATTAAAATGACTTGCACAGTTTGTATTACTGAAAATAAAGACAAATCATTCACATCGGGATGCACAAACTTTTGAGTTTTTTAGTACTGTATGATACTGGTTACGGGAGTTGACGGAAAATCGGAACTAGTGTGTTACGCTTGACAGACGCTACCAAAGCTCCATAATTTTACCGATTGGGCACATATTTGCCCTCAAATAAAAAGTTTGTTGTCCCATACTGTAAACACCTTACATATTTTGCATGTGACATTTTGTGTATTCATTTACAAAAGTTATAAAGAAAAAATGTTCCATCAAAATTAACCCTGCTGTAGTGGTCATTTATCAGGTCTAGTATTTCATGATATTTATGGACTGTCTGTAAATTTATGGATAGTCTGGGACATTATCTTATATCCCAGGGATAGTCTAGAAATTTAAAGATTTTTCAATCCATAAATTTACAAATCTATATTCAATGTGAAATTTGCTGTTTTTAATTTTACACTAAAATCCGCAGCTTCTGACTAGAGTCAGTGTACCCACCCGGGTGTAGATTTTCCAGGGTAAGCCTGGAAGAGAGGCTGGTAAACCCTGGAAAACTATGGAAAAGCATGGAATTTCATGGAAAATTGGTATTTTTTCCATGCTATGGGGACTTTTTTTGTCCAGCCATTTCCAGCATTGCTGGAATAGGCTGGAAATTGGCTGGACATTTGTAGTAAAAGCCTGGAAAACCATGGACTTTACTTCCATGTAGCATGGAAAGTGGAACTTAGATTTTTTTGATGCTGGAAATGTGTTAAACTTTCTCTAAGTATGCTGGAAAAAACTTGTAAAAATTACAAGAAATCTTCCTTTATATATTCAGCACAATATTGTTAATTTACGAAGAAAATATAAAATCATCGTTTATTTTAATGCAAGTTACTGTAAATGATTTGAAATTTGACACTTAATACTTTTTATATAGTTGAAAAAGGGTATCTCAGAAAAAATGTCTATGCTAAAGACATAAATGAATTGATTGTTCAAAATACATATTATTATTTAAATAAATCTACATGAAGTTATGTACAATGAAATAATATCCATTTAATTACAGGCTTTAAGTTTAACTATAAATTAATTAAAGTCTGTGATTAAATCATTCAGACACTATAATAATCAAGATGGGATTGCATTGCTTGCCATTTTTAAATTGTAAGAATTCATGTTTTTGGATAACAATAAATAAGTAAACAAAACAAAACAGTGCATGAAAGAATCTCCTATATATTCTATATTAAATTGACCAATATTTAGGAAAATAAAAAATAATACATCCACTGAGATTTTACGCTACACAGATCAGAGCTCTGATAAAACTCATTGACCAGCATTTTCTAACCATCTGTGCATGACTAATTTACTCCACTGGTCATTTCAGATCAGGCTGTTCCATGTGATTATTTTGGGGAGAGATAACATTATAAATTTCATATAAAGAATGTGTCTAGAAGGACATTGCAATCTTTTTTCAGCAAAGAGGGCAAATTACAGACGATGTACTTGATATTTTAGCAGTTTTGGAGATATTGTTTTTTTAAGACTTTAAAGTGTTTAAGTATTGGTATGATAACAATTAGAATCACCTGGGACAAAGAGATATACAACAGAATCAGGTATTTATAAACCTTAAGTTACATCAATGCAGAAACAGGTTATATATCAAACTATCAACATTTGTAACAAGAGATCAAGGTTGTTTTTATATTTTCAACTTCATGCATTTGTTTTTTCTGATAATTGTTTTTAATCTATACATGTATAATCTGTAAAATATAAATTATTCAATGATTTCTTTATAATGTATATTGTTAAAATGACAATTGTTAGTAGATCTTTTTCATTTCCTACAAATAAAACAAATTAAATCAATTTGATTAAATAGGACTAAATGGTACAATCAGTAGTTTTGTACAGCTGAACAGGGTCATCATAATCATTTGTTATTTACATGTATGTGTTGTGTTTTCAATGGAACAATCTAAAATTACATTTTACATTATACAATTACATAACTTGCAGGCTGGGACATAAGTGCTGACTGTGAGAATTACCAACAGTGTTTAATAATGATGTGCAGTATTAATCCTGAAAAGGTATATTTTTAAATATCAATACGTGTACTTTTTTATTCCATGTCTTTTCTTGAAAAAATACATACTGGGTGATAAATATTGTCACAAATTTACTTAATTCTTATACAGAGAAATTCTTAAACACTTGTGCACTTTGAAATAAGATACACTGCATTGCTTCAGTATTTTTGAATATGCATAAGCATAGTAAATACTTAATAGTTAATACATTTGAAACATTAGATTTGATGTTATTAAAAGATACGAAATATAACTGCATAATATTTATATGCAATAAAACATAAGTCATTACCACATCTGTGTTAAATTTATTATGAATTTTATCTTTAAAGGTGAGCACAACCACATGAAGTTCTAGGAAACACAGGCACAGGACTGAAAATGGACATCAATAAAAGAAATAGTAATTTAAATAATCAGAAACACTTGAATTAAAACAGTTTCTCATTGACAAATTAAGAGCAAAATAATTGCTAAAATTTATAAGACAACCAGAACCTAGCTACCAAACCTGCAGCTAGAAAAAAACTGTTTGTGCTATAGTGAATGTAGGATGTTCTATTCTGTATTTAGACTAAAGGATATGTATTAAATTTTGTGAAAGAAATATGTGGTTAAACTAATAAAAATTCCACCCCAAACATTCCTGTGCTGAATTCCGTCAGAGAATTTTAAATTTTAAGAACATTCAGGGATGCTGGATTTTTTCCATGTTATTCCATCAAGGCTGGACTATTTACCATGGTAAAAAGTCCAGCCTCTATGGTTGGCAGACACATGGAATACCCTGGAAAAAAAATCCATACTTTTGTTCCAATACTCCATGTACATGGAAAAGCATGGAATAAAGTCCATGCTTTTCCATGGAAAACATGGAAAATATTCCATGTAACATGGAAAATGTTCCATGTTTTTTCCCTGTTTTTCCAGCCCATTTTCTCAGCTTCAGGCTGGAAAAGGCTGGAAAATTTTGTTCCAATACTCCAGCCTCTTATTTTCCATGGAAATCCCTGGAAAAGCATGGACTTTTTACACCCGGGCAGTGTCGTACACTTTTTTGTAAGGAAAAATAAGAAAATTATCTTATAGTTAAAAATTCTTCTTATAATTGATATTATTTTGAAAATTACATCCTTTGCCCATAAAAACTGATGACCAAAACGTATCTATCTTAAGTAGGTCATACTTCTAGGCGCACTTGATTTTAAGCAACAGGAAAGGGCCAAATATAATAAATAGTGGACTCGGTTCCGCACACAAGGCCATTTTTATACTGAACGGTTATTTTACATCTTTAACATGTTTCATAAATTATTTAACATCTCTAAGTCCAGATAAGGTATTTTTTTTTTTTCAAATTTTCAGAACTTCAAATAAATTTAATGCACATTCTTACTTATACAGTATACAAACATTTATTTCCAAGAAGAGTAGCACACAGGAAACATGTAACAGCAATGGAAACATACATGTAGGTAGCAAGCATAGACAAAAAAATTATGATTGAAAGTTTTTTCATCTATTTAGTTATGATTTGTTCGATTAAGAGTTTGGTTTTATTTTAAACAAAAGAATCAAGGTGAAATGACTTGACGTTTGATAGTTGGGAGAAGTTAATTCAAATATAAATAGAAATTAGCATGGTTTAATTGCTGAATAAGATGTTTTTATGTGTGACCTACACAGCCACGTACATGTATTTACATTTTTGTCTGCACTCTCCAGGGAGAGGCTAGGGGGGAGGGGGGCAAGATCCAAGGATATATCATACCCTGTTGAAAACATGCCAATTCAGTGAAACACAAATGAAAACTGAATATTAATTCATTTGAATTTTCAAGAAAAAATGAAAAATAGGAAAGTGTACGGGACAGGGTCCTATGCGGAACCGGGTACACTGACTAGTTTTTTTATTGATTGTTTATATTTACAAAGGTAATGTGGTGAGTTTCATCTTTGTATGATGATTTTGAAATATTTAATAAAAGTGAAAATTGAAAGTCATCATATTGTTTTGAATCTCACCATACTGTTACATTTAATCATATAGTATGTAACCTTATTAATTTTAACCTGTGGTTTTGAATTTTAATGCAGCTTCTACTATTTTCTTACTTAATGTCTGTAAATTTACAGATACAAAAATCTGTAAAATTATGGCTCGTCCAAAAATTTACAGACTGTCCGTAAATATCATGAAATCCTAGACCTGTTTACTGTGCATTATTTTATTCTACATAGTCTCATGGGAACACACTTGCAACATAGATATTTCTAACAAAGCCTCGAAAATATTAGGGCAAAATATTTCAATAATTAGAAGGGCAAGTAAAAGTTGAGGTGGACTGGTCTTTCAGCAAGTTCTTTGAAAAATAACACTGACAAACAGTTGTCTCTGGTGAGCGACTCAGGGCCATCATGGCCCTCTTGTATTTAATTTTTTTTAAATTACATGTATATCAATTTTAGAATGATTTTTAAAAATATTTTTATTACAACAATAAAAGAGTATGATAGATAGAAACCCCAGTCTTTATTATGTATTCATTACATGACATGTATAAACAGTAAACTAACTATTGCAAATTTTTTTATCTCAGATAAAAGAACATATCATTTGACTGAAACCTCAGGATAACCAGACTGTGGTAACTTCAAATTATTTTAAGTGCTTTAAAAAAAACAACGTTGCCATGGGGAATGGAATGAATAAGGTAATGAGTATTATCTTTGTATCTTTACAATAATATTAACTAAATATAATTATATCATTTTAAAAGCATGAAATGCTTTCAGTTTTCTATTGACCTAAATTAAAATAAAAGCTTAAGTTAACATATGCAACAAAATACATTGAATTTTATGATTAAATATTATGCTTATTGCAATTAAGATGGGTTGATGATTGATATGAATTATTGTTTACTACACAGAAAAAAAACCCAGAACAAAATAAAAAACATTCATACAACATGTAAATCATTACCAAACTTTGTCTGTAGCCCTATGACTTTCTTGCTTCAGACTGTTTCTTTTGGCATATTTAAAAGGGTTTTTAGAATTTAAATAAGTTGTTAAAAAGTCCTTTTTAATATGCATATTTTTCAATCATATGAGAAGCACATGATCATCATATGATCTGATTTTGATGGAAAAAAATTCTGGAGATTTGAGATGGATTTTCTTTGAATTAATGTCACTGAATAATACTCTTGTGTATCTTCTTTTTTTATTATCGAAATATTAAGCAATAATATAGTAGAGCAGGCAGTCCTTTTGACAACTATTGTTTATAAATAAATTTTCAGGACTGTTCTGTCAAGATTTGTCTGTTCTTACAAATTATTGCCTTATTTTCAATTTCAGATCATAACAGGGGTGTATGTTGGAAATTTTCGTGATGCTAAAGATCCTGTTCAGCTGGCAGATAACAAGATTACTCATATCTTAGCTATACATGATAATGCTAAAGCTTTACATAAGGTAAAACAACAGTGCAATAGAGTTTAATTTGATATAATAATTCAAAGACTTTGCATGAGGCACAAGTTCTGTTTATATTAAGGGCTCGGTATTTATGGTTGTCTGACTGTTCTAAACCAATAAAAATTTGGTCTGGGCAAGTGAATTCCAAAAGAACTTATCCAACAGGGCAAGTGGAAAATCATTAAATCATAATTATGTAGAGGAAAACCTTTATGTTTGTAAATGTTTATTTGTGCCACAAATGAGACTGTATAGTAGTTCATTAGCTTGGCATTTTTATTGTCATCTACTTATTATGTGCAGCATGGCCTTTGCTTAAAAGGGCATCCATGGCCGCGTGGTTGAGGCCATTTACTTCAAATCACTTGCACCTTTTTATGAGTTAAAAAAAATTTTTTTTTTATGTATGCGGAAATTGTTTCAAACAAGAGTATCTTTGAGGCAGATACCCCACTTGTGATAAAAATATTTAAAATGTGACAAGGGATGAGCATAATAGGGGTCAAGGTCTAACCCCTAGATGTGACTCTGGATAACTTGTGCTTGAATTGTTTACATGTTTGTGAAGACTTTCTACATTTTATGTCTGATAATATTAAAATTAAAGATATTCTAAAATTTCAGGAAAAAGAAATATTTAAAGTATAATTTGGCCCAAATGACAATTCTGGGGCAGTCTCTCACACGTAATTTTTAAAAAAATGTAATAGATTTTAACATGATGCCGTCTAAAGGTTTTTCCCAGTTCTCATACACTGGGCGTATAAAATTTTTGAATTAAATTTCCCCTACAAATTAAAAAACCTTCTTTTAAATTAAAAATTTTTTTTTAAAAATATGCTTTTAGATAGAATGTGTTCTTTAACACATTTCTTCAGAATTATTGATTTTTTTGACGGTGTCTCCAAATATACTTCTCAACTACAGATACTTGTTATTTGTATTTCTATGTAGTATCATTAAATGTAATCCTGATCAAGTACAGGAATGTAATGTCCTTAGTACATTATGTGGTTTAAATTATTTAACCAATTTATACATAGAATGGAAAATCCATTTTTCAATGGTTCTACATGTAGCTTTAAAAATATATGAAATGATCCTGTTTCTTGATACCAATTACATTTTAGCATCAGTGGTTGAATGGTTATGGTAATTGACTTGAACGTCAGTGGTTCTACTCAGGTGCGCGTTAGTGCCAAAAATAATGCAAGAAGGGGCACCTGAGGTTTTTCTCCACCAATAAAGCTTGACAGTTGTCAAGTGACTTTTACTGTTTTGATATGAGGTATAGCCCAACCAAAAAAAACCCATCAGGGACTTTGAATTCTTTCATGTGAGGAAGCAAGGACATGCCCCTGAGGTCTTCTTCCTCCAGTAAAGCTGGAATGTCATCATATGACCCTTACTGTGTATGTATGACTTAAAACCTAACCAAAAAAGATGGTAAGATAAATTCTTCATTTTTCAGTTTGGCAGGAGTGTCCCGAAGTGTAACTATTACAGCTGCATATATTATGACGGTGACGAAACTTGGTTGGAGGGATGCCATAAACTCTATTCGAGGTGCAAGAAATTGTGCTAATCCTAACTTTGGATTTCAGAAACAGTTACAAGACTGGGAAAATGAAGGCCTTGAAGAAGTAAGTTTTACAAGAAAAATTCTTATAATATACTGATTATATCTTGTCTGTTAGTTGAAACTTAGTTTAAAAAAATTAAATTGCTTTAAATGCTTTCAGAAATAACATTTTAACTTTATATTTTGTAACTAAACTTTATACCAGCTTTATTGTTTGATTGCAAAGAAGTGTCTAAATAATTCTGTAAGTCGTGCATCTTCATGTACACCATGAACCCTTGAATTTGGTTTTGTCATATTGTGATGATGTTTAAATATTATGTGACTGAAGTATGTTTGTTTGATTCTGTGTTAAACTTTAATATATACTTCAAAATATTTTATACTTTACTGTTTTTGCCTTTGAAACTGTTAAAACATAGTGCTGTGGAAATATGGGAATTAAACAACTTTAACTCATAAGTTGGCAGATGAGTATTGGCTGCCATGTTGTGTACATGATTGTCTAATGTAAAAAGAATGGAAATAACTAAGGTGTTATTGACAATGTTTATAGTATTTTCCAGAACTTGATTATTCTAACTTTTGTTGTGTTTGTCAAACAATAAAATACCGCGGAAATATGAACACTATTCACAGTAATGTTGGGTGTCAATGGCTGTTTACTTAATCCGTCTGACTTCAAATCACTTATGCCTCATTGCTGTTGGTATGGGTCTTGGCAGAAACTTCGACTTTGTAATGTGTTAAAGTTAGACGCCAAGTTTACGTACAAAGTTCAGTGGTTCTACTTATGTGCCTACTTGTGATCAAAGCTGGAAAGTTGACAAATGACCATTACAGTGTTGGTGTGAAAACTAAATAATAACACCATATTGTTGTTGTTGTTGTTTTTAAAGCCAATAGGTATATTTGTACATATAAATCTCTAATTTATGTATATGAGTCATGATTTTCTATGGTTTTCAGGCTCGACGAAAATTCAAAAATAAATATCCAGACAATTCTTTTGATGATGAGAAGGAATGCAGTGCCTTGTTAAAATGCTACAACCATTTTCTAATGACTGGAGAGACTAGAAATCAACAATTATATTCCCTCCCACATAAAGCTTACAAGGAAAGAACTAAACCTGATCCTAAATCTGACAGTGTGCCTAATACTGACAATATACCTAGTGTTTCAAAGACAGAAAGTGAAAATAAAGACAGCGAGGGAACTGTGCAATATGATTCAAGAAAAAGTGCTGACTGTGAGAATAACAAATTATCAGATGTGACAGGTCAAAAACCATTTGCATAATCTTGAAAATCAGGGAAATAACAAATTATTCAAAGATCTGTCACAGTGCCTCAGTTTACGTTAAATCATGTGCATGTAACAGTAAGAGATGATTAAAATAACCGTTGTAGAGTTGAATTGTAGAAATTAAAAGAAACTTCTCATAAATTTTATCTTTTTTCTGAACTATAAATATTTAAGTACACGTATACTGATAAACACTAGGCAGGGAAAATATAGATATGACATTTTATCTTTAGAAATGTAAAGGAAGTTGTAATTGGGAAAATATTTCAAGCCAAACTAAGTTATGTACAGGATAATGTATATCAAACATCTTCAATGATATACTTAATGCAATGTTACAGACTGTAGTTCATCTGTACAAAATAGAACAACAATTGTGTGAATTTTTGCTCTTTGTGAAGTGTGCACAGCTTATTACACACAGTAGAGCTTTATTGTAAACACACAGCATTTTCTGCAGCAATCTTGATAGATGATTATATTTATAGTATGATTAGGAATGTCTTTGAATGTATTTATAGGCCCATTATGCCACAGAAATGCTATCAATTTTATTTCTCAAAAACTTGCCACATACATGAACCTTTTTTTCTACTTTTGCTCTGTTGGCAATTGGTATAATTATAGTAAGTACAAATGTATTTTGTATGAAAGTCAAAATACTACTTTGTTTATATTTTCTACCTCTACGACACAGTACTACACATTCAACCCTACTCTTTCAGTTGTTTTAACATCTAATCAGCTCTAAATTCATTATCAAAACATTTTTACACAAATGTTTGACATTTCTAATGAATTGAAAAAATATGGATTTCTGAGGCATAATTTGCTTTTAAATATAGTTATAAAAATGTGCAAACTCAGGAACCAAGCAACTTGTAGATAAATCATGTTTTAATCAGGATATGAAGATATAAAGATAATCATATATTTTTGCTGAGCAGATATTTTGTTTGTAATATTTATTTATTTTTGTAGATAAAAAAAGACAGTTTTCAATTACATTTAGTCTATGCAACACCTGCTTAATGTACTTTTCTACCTGCATTATTTTATGCCTGGAAAAAAAAAAAGAGAATATTGTTATTACACTGCCTTTGTGTATTGGAGTGTTATGTCCCTTTTATTTATTAACATGCTGTATATCTTTTATGAAATGTGTCACTTTTGCGACACTGTAAAAGCTATATGACACAGCCTTGTACATGAGATGCAAATGAGCTTAATTATGCAAACATTACTTTTGTTTATTGTAGTGTGGTTTAAAGTCAATTTTTTTTTCATTGTGTTTTTTTTCCCTTATTTTTCATATTTTCAGGGTATATGGTAAATATAATGTCAAGATTGTTTACATGTATGATGTAATTTCTATTCTGAATATACTGACTGAGCTAAATTACACTCTTTGAAGCAAAATCTCTGTCAATACTGTTTATGAATTTTACTTGTTCATTGGATATTTTTCCAAAGTCACACTTACTGATTTATCAATATCCTCTATTTATCAAATACTTATAGAGATATTCTGCTGTATACACTAGATTCGATTCATGGGCTAATATGACCCAAGAGAAAAATGAATATTTCTTATGAACATGATATGATATTGTTGACAGTAATGCAGTATATACAAGATTGATGCTAAAAATTAAGAAAAAATTCCATTGAAATCAGCAAATAATTTCCTATTCCAGTAAACAAGTATACTGAACTTTTTGGCATTTAGATGATACAGTGTATATACATCTGGTACTTGACAAAAAGCGTTAGAGAAAGGAATAAAGCATAAAAGTTACATAGGAAGAGTTCATTTGCACTGGCACTTGCATTTGGCTGTAAAGAATTATACTAGACTGGATCACATTGGTTTCTTCCCTACATGCAAGTTGAAGTTTCAGAACAAAATGTTCCTGTAGTAATGTGGATATATTATCTTCTGTTTATCATTATGATAAGCTTGAGGAAATTTTTTCTAAATCTTGTGTAAAATCAGTAAATTTTGCCTTTATTTGTCTAAGATTAGCAGATTTTGCCTTTACTTGAGTAAGATTAGTAAATTTTGTCTTGTTTTGTGTAAGATAAGTCAAGTTTGCCTATTCTTGTTAAAGATTAGTAAATTTCACCTTTTCTTTGTTTTAGATCAGTAAAATTTGCCCTTCTTGTTTCAGATCAGTAATATTTGCCTTTTCTTGTGTAAGATCTGTAAATTTTGTCTTTACTTTTGTTAGATTAATTTTACTCTTTCTTGTGTATGATAAGTCAATTTTGCCTTTTCTTGGGTACTAAGATCTTTCTAGTGTGTTATTAGTAAATTTTGGCTTTTGTTTTGTAAGATCAAGATTCATCTTAAAAATTCTTTGTCAAATCAACTGTGCTGAATTTACATTAACCTTACATTAAAGATTAATCTGAAAATGAATACTTAAAAATAGTAGTTATCTATCTATTTATGAAAAGATTTGATATGTCACATAATGTGAATATTGTTGTCACTCTGCCTTTGCATATCTAAAGTTATAGGCCATTTATATTTAGTCTACATGACATGTATGTTTATCTCTTTTTGTAATGTTTGACCGTCATGCACCTGGAATATATTCTGTTACTTGTATTTCATATTTCAAGTAAAGCTTGATTGAAAAAAAATTGTATTTTATACAGGTGTGTCCTGGTTTTATGTAGAGATGTCATTGATTTAGTACAAAGCATATCAAGGAATGACTGTAATGATATACTTATATATCATTAATGCATCTTTAATTCACTTCCATACTTGTTTAAGTGATTTCATGCTCAGTTAGTACAGTAATGATGTGTTTTGTTTATTATATGCCCATTGCATTATTTTTTTCTGACCATTTTTTGTCATTAGTGCTATGAAATATGGCCATTACTCGTTTTAGACATGGGCATCTGCTCCTGTATATGTTTGGGTAAATTTAGTTGATTATGACATTTTTGTCATCTAAAAAAAGTTGATTAAGATGAAGTAAGCCACCAAATGGTCAAAACTATGTTGGCAACTTGAAGTATTAACTACACAGAGAGATTTTTCTGAAAGTGTTCAATGTTTCAGAATTGCTTCCAGACAGTTAAACCTGTGAACAAAGGCTACTCAAGGGAAAGATAAATTATGGTCTTTATAGACAAGTGGCCTTTATTTAGAGGGAACTGTATTCCAGTTTACCAATGAAGGTTTATCCAAAAATGGCTTTTTTGCAGGGTGATTTTAATTCGTATGTTGTCTTTAACACAAGTTTGACTGTACTTGAAAATTTTCTGTTCTTGTTCATATGCTATTTATGTTTTAGAAGTGTTTAGATGGCTTTTAATTATTTTTGCTATATACAGGAACTTGTGTATGTGCGCGTGTGTGTACAAGGACTGTGGACAATGGCTGTAAAACAAATATAATACACATGCCTAAAATAATTTTGCACATGTTTATCCCCACCAATTTGAAGTAAAATAAGCAACGTTATTTCAGGAAAATATTCATACATTTTCTGCTATAAACAATTTTTTAACATACATCTTGACTATAATCAGGTATATATATATATATTAACGTACCTGCTATGATGTATTTGTTACAAGAGCAGACATAAGTATTTATAAAATTCATAGGAGATGTAATCACATAACTAACTTTTCTTTTACAGTGAATTTTAGGAGTATAAACTATAAACTGATAATTGTTAAACTTCTTGATTTGTGTGGATCACAACTTTTCTATGATATTTGTAGATAATGTCTTAGTACTTATAATGTGCACTATTGTTTGTGTGTAATGATTTAGAAAGTCTAGTTTTACAAATTTATTAAACTATTGTTATAGTGTGTTGAATCTACTTATAAAGTGCAATTAATGTTGTTATTTATATTTCTTTTGAAAGTTCTCATATATACATGTATCATGTGTGTAGATTCTAGTTGAATTTTTTTAGTTAATATATTGTTTAGAATTTCTGATGATTGTGTTTAGAAGAACAAGAAGTGTAATTTATGAACATTTCAACATTTTGTACTATTACATCTGCAACTTTTACTTTCCAATTAGGAGTTGATAAAAATATGGAAATTAAAAAAGTTTGCTTAATCAGTTTGGTTATTGTTTATATATTATGTTATATGTTATGCTTTTCCTTTATCATATAAGTGGCCATTTGTCCAAGATGTCTATTTGAGTTTTACCAGGAACTTTTTTATGGGAAAATGTTCTTAAAATTAATGCATAGTTGACGGGTCTACATCAGTGCTTCCTGATGCCTAACTTGAGGCATGGATAAGAGGAGCATTAAAACTTAGTCCAGCAGTTCAACTGGAAAAAAGACAATGTTACTATCTCATAAAAAAGATTAATTGAAGTTGTGGTTAATAGTTTAGCAAAACTGGCTCAATTTGCAGTAAACATCCCAGCTAGACATTCGAAAAAGTTACAAAAACGAATGATTTCTGTGTGAACTTCATATACTTTATTCTGTATACATACATCATACTAGCAACCAACCCGGGACCATAACAGTATTGAATGGTCAGACTAGGACATGCAAGGGCATGCACATTTCCTTTTGTTATTTATGATTTCTATAAAGCTATATTAAAATTCAGGCAGCAGTTGCCCAATAATACCAAATATGTTTATTATACCCCCGCACAACAAAGTTGTAAGGGGGTATACGGGAATCAGCTTGGTCGTCCGGCTGTCTGGCCCTCAGCAGGCTGTCAAGTTGTTCCTACTTTTCCAAGTGTTCCTACTTTTTCCTACTTTATTCCTACTTTTTATGTTCAATTCCTACTTTTTAAGAACTCAAGAAATTTGCAGTTAAAATAAAGTTGTACTTTTAAATCAGTTTTAGTATAAAATCAGAAGTCATTGTATTATGACTGTAAGACTGTAAGAAGCTTTCATCTGTGTGGCATAAAGACCCATGCTGGCTGTCCCACATGCTATTTAAGGTAACCTGTGACAGTCAGATGGGTTTGAGCCTTGAGCAGATGGAGGGCATAATTATTTCTTTTCAAAGTTCAAGAATTGGCTTGACAGTGTTTCAGCCCAAAAAACTTAATTTTTTGAGGAAAGACCTGCTTAATGACTAAAGTCTGATTTTATTTACCTGCCAATTATGAATACATTTTAGCACTAAGATATTCGATTCCACATCAGTTCTGTCTGTATTGTTTACGAGAATTAATATGGAGTATATAACTAATGTTTAGAAAAGTCACGCTTGTATAGATTCTCGTCACATTTGCAATAGCACAGTCAGTTAAAAGATTACCCAATATATGAGAGATCTATGGTTTGATCCCTACTTTTGTCATTGGTTTAATGCCTATTCTTTTTTTTCGAAGTATATTTTAATGAAAATGGCAAAGTGCTTGCAAAATTGTCTACACAGATATGTAACAACTTAGAAACACTTATTTGTCTCGTTTTGCACGGTCTTTCACAGTACTGAAATGACATTTATTGATTTTTATTTGGATGAAATTTAAATATTAATTCTTAACCCATGTTATTCAAAAGAGTATAGTCTTTATCCAAATAAGTGAGTGCAAGTCAAGTATATTAAAAAAATTTATAAATAACTGCATAAAAAAACAAAACAATCATTATTAGCTTTAATATTGTTAAAATTTCTACTTTGTTAATTCCACATTTAATAAAATTTAAATGACTGTTCTTATTTTCCTTTCATTGTTTATTTGTTAAATCTGTTTCTAAATTTGTAATCTAAATTAAAAACTTAAATTAACAGTGTTTTCTTCCTCACAAATGGGTGACTAGTCACTGAATATTAACTCTTAAAAATCCCTATACTGACTCTAGTATCTTGACTCTCACTCTTGAAATCTCACTCTTGAATCCCTTTAGAAAATCTTGTATTAGTATTTATACAAAATACCTTATTTCTCCATATTTGGAGGTTACCCTAGTGTTTATTGACACATTTAAGCTGCCTTCTATATTTATGACGACAAGTGTAATGGAAATCAAACCAACTGATTCCTAGAATATTTATGATGGTAACCGATGATTGAGTTACCTAAACTCAGTAATTGCAGGCCTTTTGTCCAGAATTTATGAAGGTCACCGTTGATAGAGTTACCATACTAAAATCTCCCAGACTGATACACAGTCTAGCCCCAACAGATTTATAGTAATAAATAATGACAACAAATGAGGTCTCAATTCTCATACAAACTCAATCATAATATTAATTCAATTCTTAACCAGGTGCATTGCTAAAACTGCAACAATAATGTTTAAAATAATTATAAATAAGAAGAAAAAGAATAAGGACATAATTATTGGGACTTGATCTTACAACACATTCATTAATTATAAACCCATAGTTTTGCTATGAAGGTAAGTATAGTTATTTCCTAGAAATAAACTACATTTAATCACATCTTACTGCAGCCTGTATCTCATGAAATTTAACAATTATTTATTGAAGATTTATATATTGTGTGCATTGACCATATAATCAGTATGCAATTGACAGGTCAATAAAATCAAACAATACAAATCATTATGTATTTAACGAGGTATGACAGCTAAATGTTCCTACTTTTTTGGTAAATGTTTCTACTTTTCCCTACTATTTTCCTACTTTTTCGCACAAATCTTCCTACTTTTTTCCTACTTTCTGGTGTGAGACCACTTGACAGCCTGTCTCAGGCGTCCGTCAGTTTTTTCTTGTCTGCCCAATAACTTAAGATTTGTTTGACCCACTGTCTTCATATTTTACATGTAGATTAGTCATGATTACTAGATGATCCCTATTGATTTTGAAGTCACCAGGTCAAAGGATAAGGTCACAGGGGCCTTGACTGAAAAAAGCTTGTCCTCCCAATTACTTACGATTCATTTGACCCACAGTCTTCATATTTGGCATGGAGGTTAGTCATAATGAGTGAATGACCCCTATTGATTTTGAGGTCACCAGGTCAAGGTCACAGGGGCCTGGACTGAAAAAAAGCTTGTCAGCCCAATAACTTAAGATTCCTTTGATCCACAGTCGTCACATTTGGCATGGAGGTTAGTCATGATTATTACATGCCCCCTGTTGATTTTGAGGTCAAAGGTCAAGGACACAGGGGCCTTGACTGAAAAAGCTTGTCAGCCCAATAAATTAAGATTACTTTGACCAATAGTCTTCATATTTGGCATGGAAGTTAGTCATGATTAGTAGATGACCCTTATTGATTTTGAGGTCACCAGGTCAAAGGTCAAGGTCACAGGGGCCTTGACTTAAAAAAGCTTGTCGGCCCAGAACTAAAGGTTCTTTTACCCACAGTCTTCATATTTAGCATGGAGATAGTTATGATTAGTAGATGAACCCTATTGATTTGAGGTCATCAGGTCAAAGGTCAAGGTCACAGGGGCCTTGACTGAAAAAAGCTTGTCCGCCCATTAACTTAAGAATCCTTTGACCCACAGACTCCATATTCGGCATGGAAAATAGTCATGATAAGTTGATGACCCCAATTGATTTTGAGATCACCAGGTCAAAGGTCACAGGGGCCTTGACTGAAAAAAAAATGACCCATAGTCTTCATATTGGGCATGGAGGTTAGTCATGATTAGTACATGACCCCTATTGATTTTGAATTCACCAGGTGAAAGGGTCAAGGTCACAGCGGCCTTGACTGAAAAAAGCTTGTCCTCCCAATTACTTAAGATTCATTTGACCCACAGTCTTCATATTTAAAATAAATATTAGTCATATTTGGGGTAGAAATTACCTAAACTAATATTTACATGTAGCACTTTTTTCTTATAGTAGCGCATGAGTTTACAAATTCATTTATAATGGCAAATGACGTCACCATACGGAAGCAGTTCATTCACGAAAAGCGCGCGAGAATGACGACATTTAAAGCGCGTGACCTGTCTTACACGGGGATGTAAGACAGGTTTTTCTTGCATATCAGACAGGATTATCTACCGTTTACACCGATGCTAGAAAACCCTGTCTTACACCCCCATGTAAGGCAAGTCGCGTACTTTAAATGACGTCATTGCCGCGCGCATTTTATGAATTAATTACGTTCTTAGGATGACGATTATTCTGTCTGTTATGCAAGAAAATGTTACACATAACACATAATACTGCTATCACGCACCAAAGTGAAATGTGTCTATAATAGATATCAGAAATTACGAATATATAATGTCAAATATAATCTGGCTGTCAACGCAGTGGAATAAGTTTAATACTTTTTCAGACAGCAAAGTGCAGTAAGTATTTTAAACATGTATTACTCGACGATACAGTGCAAGCAGGCAAGACTTTTATTTGATCATTAACAAAACTACATTTATTAAACTTCTATAAAGTTAAATAATCTTGTAAGCGAAATGTATAATAATGCATTGAATACATAGAATGAGCGGACAATCGCTATTTCTTCATATTGGGCATGGAGGTTAGTCATGATTAGTACATGTCCCCTATTAATTTTGAGGTCACCAGGTGAAAGGGTCAAGGTCACAGCGGCCTTGACTGAAAAAAGCTTGTCCTCCCAATTACTTAAGATTCATTTGACCCACAGTCTTCATATTTGGCATGGATGTAAGTCATAATGAGTAAATGACCCCTATTGATTTTGAGGTCACCAGGTCCTGATAATAATAAATTGATTTAACTTCCGAGATCCTTTATTAGCAAAGACAGTTGCTTCATTTGAGAACAAACATATTGTTTGCAATTGAATATAAATATAAATATAAATTGAAATCAAAAGATTTTAAATATTAACGACTGGGTCAAAACAATATTAAAGGCAAAACAAAAAGCTCAAATTAAAAATGATAAGAAATTATCTAAAGATATATATTAAAAGTGACGAAAATGGATTTGAAATTCGTATTAAAAAATACAGTCATTAATAGCGCTATACATTCAGCGTTAAACAGAAGTATACTGAGCCAAAATGAAAGCTTGACACTGGTAAATTTTGATTTTTTTCTTTTACTGCGGCCGCGTCATCTTGCAAAATCCATTTCGTTCTTTTATTAAACTCCACCAAGATAACTAGTCCATTTAACTATTGCGTTTTTTCTTGCACGTTAAATATTAGTCATATTTG